ACCCCTGATGTTATCTGTCAAACTTTCATAGCGAATCAAAACAAACATAGTGTAGTAATAGAATTTCAACTAGAATAGGGTACGTTAATCGTTTGCTTGGGACCAATAGGCTGCTAAAGTGGTGAGCCAATTTAAAATCGTTAGTTTCGTATTGATTGTTGGTTGAATGGTGCAGCGAAGGCCCTGCTTAATGTAGAAATCCAGCTGCTCCCATAGCCCGGGAGGGAAGCCCTTCACATAGAAGGGTGGCCCTCTCAAGGCAAAACAAACTGGCTGTTTACAAACAGATCATAGCCCCCGCGATCTTCTATGCCGCCCCGGTGTGGGAATCGTGCGCTCAGACCCACAGGAACAAAATCCAGGTTGCACAGAATAGAGTGTTGAGGATGATCCTAGATCGTCCATTCGACACAAGAATAGCAGACCTCCATCAAGAGGCAGAAATTCCCAAAGTAGATTCCAAAATTGATGATATGACAACTAAATTTATTCAAAAATGCAATCTATCTGAACATGCTTTAATAAGCAATTTGTACATAGTAGGTTAAGTGTATATAGTAGAGTAGGTTAGTTTTAAGCTGTAAATAGTAGTATTAAGTAGTTTCTCTTCAAATTCTAAAAACAAAACAAACCAATCCCACCAAGGTGGTCGACCGTGTACTAAGTCTAGGACTAATTCTGTAAAACAAATTTTGAATTTTGCCCATACCTAAAGATGAAGAAAGCAATTAAATCACTTAGTAAAAATTTATATGGTAATCGTCCAAGTTAAACTAAAATAAAGATCATTTAAACTAAAACTAATGATCTAAATGCATATATAGAGGTACCAGACATGATTTGCACTGCAGTGTCCTCTGTGAACAATTAACGGAAAACAGATTGTGTTCAGTTTCCGATACATGTCACTGCAAATAACAGCAGTGACATCTGATGGAACATGAATGCAGAAGCTTGACAAACTGATTAATTAATGTAAAAGAATCTAATTACCAACATTTGCAGCAAGCGCTGAGGAATTTTGAATTGAGTTCTTCTCGGTGCTCGGTGACGCCATATTGATTTTTTTTTTGCGTCCATGAAAATCACGTAAATCTCGTTTCACGGAAATATCGAAGTCCCAAACACATAACACAAATACACTAAATCTGTTTACGTGAATATACGGTCAATTTCACCAACATTTTTAGTGGACATGACGTGTAATGCAGGTCAAAGTTATTAACGGCACGTAACATTTGAGATTTTCTAAATACAGATCAGGTGATATTTCACGTAAATCGGTGTGAAGATTTTTTAGAGTGTACGGTATTAATCAGGGTGTCTACTAACTGCAAAAACGTGGAAAACCGGGAATTCTCGGGAAATTTTATTTTTCCTAAAAATACCTGAAAGTCGCAGAGAATTTAATAAATTTCTTGCAAAGGATATTTTAAAAAAATAATGAATTTTAAAATACAAGCATTTTTCTCGATATGTTCATTCATACCTTGAACCTAGCCTTGAACTTTATAGACAGTGGATTAATCTTCAATAGCAAATAAATTTTAAAAATTCAGAGGCTTAAAATGTTTTTTTTTTTTAACATGCATATTTCCTACAAATTGTAAATTTTCAAGAATCTGGAGTCAAAATCCATGCACAGTTTTAACGGCTTGTGGAATTTTATTATAATTTTTAAGGACCTCATTCCAAGGGAGTTCTAGGAAAAAATCTTTCAGAAATGAGTAGAATTTCAAGAAACTCTGAATTGAATTAAAAGTAAATTTTAATGAAAACTTTTAAGAATTTATGAGGAGCACAATTAATTAATTAATTTATCTTTATTAGGGAGGCTTTCAGCCTGGGGATGGTTCGCTTCCAATGAGGAGCACAACTTTTGTGAACTTCAGAGGAAAATTCAAAGGGCATTCTGAGGCTAATTTCATAAAGTTTGTGGGAGAAAACGAATTCGGAGTATAAGTACTTGGATTTTTTTTTGAAAATACTAAAAGGAGGATTACAATTAAATCTAAGAATAACTCCAGAACATCTTCAAAGTAATTTGGAAAATAAATTCAGGAGAGTTTGCAAACAAATTATTAGTAGAAATCTAAGAAATTTGTGAGGAGAAATGCCAATGAATTCTTATGAGTCTTTCAATGTGAGTAGAATTCCAAGGAGTGAGATTCAAAAAGAAATCTGAAATGAATTCACTGGATATTCGGAGAATCTTATCAAAGGGTTTCTTATTGTGGAGAACTTCAACTGTAATTCCGAGAAAAACTAAAAGAAAATTTAATTTGGAAGATATTTTAATCGAAACTTTGATAATATATTTAATATGGAATGGACTATTCTGAGGTCTTCAGAACTACTTGATTATTCCCTAATTTTTCCTGAACTTAATGAAACTGCCTTGAAGTTCTTTTGTAGTTTACTAGCCTGATGCTTACAATACTTCTCATCAAAACTTCCCTGAACTTTATAGGGCTTCCTAAAGTTTCCTCAATTTTTCTAATGATCATGGATCTCCTCTTAAGGTTTAACGGTTCGCTGAAGTTCGCAAAACATCTTTAAAATTTATGTGACTTCTCTAATGTTAACGGATCTGCTCTGAGGTTCTCTGTTCTTTTCTGAAATTCTTAAAACTTCTCTAAAGTTTTTGCAGTTCTCATGAAGCTTGTTGTTGTTGAACTGTCCCAAAAATGTTTAAGCTTCCGTGAACTTCTGAACTTATGTGAAGACCCCAATTTCGACAATTTTCCTTAACTATTATAACCATTATAAACGCTCACTTATTTTCCCTGAACTTTTGTACGCTTACCTGAAGTTCTCTAGTTTTTTTTTAAAGAATCCGTCAAATTTTCTGATATATATTCATAATTCCCTGACGCTTCCGAAGTTTTCGGATCAACCATAGAAATCTTAAAATACCCCATAATTCAACGGAACTCCTCGTAAGTCGCTGCAAATTTGCTTAAGTGAACGGAATTATTCTGAAGCTATCCGATCGTCGTCAAAGTACTCGGAACTTCATTGAATATCATGACACTATCTAAAAGTATCTAAATACTCTCACGTTTCCCGGATTTTTATCGCGTTCCCGAAATTCTCTCGGAGCTTTGCGGAAGTTTCCGAAATTTCCCTGAGTTTCTCGAAACTTATTTACGGTTTTTCTACAATTTCCTTGAAATTTTTTGAACTTCCTTTTGATTGTTTGATCTGGCTTGATGTTCTCAAAGCTTCCCTAAGGCTTTCAATTCTATCAATCTCGGTTCTGCTCGGAAATAAATGGATTTCCCGTTAACACCTTTAAATTACCCTGAAATTCTCTGGACTTCTGTTTCATAAAATCTCTGAAGGTTTCTGTACTTCCCGAAAATTCTCGGAACATCTTCTAGATTTTTTTTTTTCAGCACATCATGGAACTATCCTGAATTTTTTATAAATTTACGATTATAGATCTTACTGCTCCAAAAGTCTGGACTAAAGTTTCGGGAACTGCTCTTAAGATCTGAAATTGCCCAAAGATCTCTAGACATAGCTTTTCTGAGGTGCGTAGAACTTCTTAAGAACTTGCACAATACCCCTCGACTTTTCTATACTTCTCAAGTTCGCTTGACACCTGTGAAGTTCTCTTAAATTCTAGGAATTTCATAAAAGTTCCTGAAAATTTTTGAATGCCGAAAGAGCGATTCTTTGAGGTTTTTAAAGCTTCCAGTAAGTTTCCCATATTTTTAGCGCGTTAACTTTCCTTATGTTCCCGCAGTTTGTTTATGGAGCTTCACTGAAATTCTCAGCGTTTCCTTTCATTCCTCAGAACTTGTCCAAAGTTTCTACAATTGTTGTGAAGTTAATGGGACTGCAATGAAGATCATTAATTTTTCATAAAATTACTCATGAACTTGAAATATAATTTATGATTTTCCCCTTAATTCTGGCACTTTGGAAATGTTTAATATCTTGAACTTGTACATGGAGTACGAAACTTCAAAACATTGAATATTTTTAGATCTTGGACTTACCTTAATTGAGTAAGTTTTTTTTTAAACTTTATTAAAGAGAGAAATTATGTATGTAATTATGTAAATATTATGGATTTTATTGTAAAGCTGATCCTTTAAAACCGATTACCATGTCTTAAAAACGTTTTGGTTAATTGCTGTTGTTTTTGATCTACACAAAAAGCCTATTTTGAAAGCATTTAAAAAATAGCTTTCTTATTATAAGACTGGAATTTATCCGTAAAAGTTCTGGAAAAACCTGGAACATTCAGGTAATTTTATTTAAAAAATTAGTAGCCACCCTGTAGATATAGAAAGACAATTAAAGCTTCTTCGAATTGTTCGAAAATTAGATCAAAATGTAGGCATCGGTTTGACTATCAGATCCTAAACAAAGCAGTGCATGAAGGTTGAAGGTAAAAAGTTGAAAATAGTAACTGATTACAATAAAAAGTAACTTGGCCTTAAAAAGGAGACTTTTTAGTGACTGGCTTGAAAAAAGTGACTCGCTACCAGCCCTGACTAAATTATCCCAATTTTAAAATACATGTTAGGCATTGAGTACTTAAGATTGTTTTGTCTAAAACCGTTACATACAAATTGATATTAAATATTTGTTCATCAAATCAGGCTTAGTAAAATACCTTCTATCATTGATTTAATTACCTATTTAAATAAAAAAAAAAATGTGCGCACAAATTTTCAAAACATTATTTTTAAATTGAATTTCTCTCCTTTGGTGATAAAAATTCTCCAGAACCCAAATAAATGTCCTCCTTTTTAGTTTTTTTTCTAAAGAAATCCCTAATACACGCCGTGCAATTTCTTCCCTGAATTTACATCACTGAAAACTATGTCATCTTTAAAGTCGTTGTTGTTGTTAGACGCAATTATTTCTTTCACGAAGATGGATTAAAATCCATCTTCATCTCCCGACGTAGCCGCGATTGATCGTTGACATTGGCGGATTGAATGTTTCTTTCTTGTTATGGGTTTAAAATATAATCAAAAAACACCACTCAGAATGCGTCCAAACCTTGCGAAAGAGCCGATCTTCAGAGGAAGAGCGATCTATCTGAAACAGATAGACCAAATCTCGACCAAGTTTCACGCTCCAGGCTGGACACTGCGTCTCCTCATCGTGGGTGGAAATCTTTTCCTTTCGGAAAAAACTTGTGGTGAAAACTTGCCTACAGAAATGATCCTGTGAAGCACAGTCTTAACAATTCAATGAGAAACCACATCGAGTGATTCTTCTCCGGCGGGTTCCGCTAGTGATGGTTGAAGCATAGACCGTCACGATGCAAGAGCATGCGAGAGAACGATTGAATCATACGAACGACGACCACGCCATGCTTCGCTGGTTTGTTTACCAACCATGCGTCACGATTTCCCCACTGTTTGGCGCTCTCTCGCGCTCGCCTCTCACTGAGACTGAGCTTTCAGTCTCAGTGCAAGGGTGTGACCGTGGTGAGTACGGGAAGTACTGTTATTAAATTGCGTTTACTAATCGCGCAAGCGGATATGAATGAAGCTGTTGTTCATTCCAATTTACAACCGTTGTTCGGATTTTCTTTCATGCAAGTTACAGAATGAATGCATGGAAATCTGCAGGCCATGTTCGGAAACACGTGTTTGTTTTCACTATCGGGATGTGATATAATCGAATGGAGAAAATAATACGTTAAATTGAATGGTTTATTAAAGCATGCAATTACGCGTGCAATCCGTCGAATTACTATGAAGTTCAGTATAAACACATTTAGGAACCACCATGAGCCGTCTAATAGAAACAGATCGTTTTCGCGAAGCGAGCAAATTGTTTTATTGCACTTTGGTGATAACGCCATCAATTAAAGATTCGTTATTCTTCTTCAGGGTGATAATGTGGCTAATTTAAAATTAGTAGCAGTAAATTTGGGGCTCACTTCAGTTCTCATTTTCAGCGGACAAGCTTCAGCTCAGCGTTTTTTTTTCTGTTGCAATTTTTATTTCACGATGGATGAGCTGGATCTGTTGTCAAAAGTTTATCAAATTCTCCAGACGGAAAACGTTTTCAACCCAGCCGCCGAGGATGTTATTTTCCCATTCGAACGTCCCAAAGATTTGAAGGTAGTATTGTTTTTATTAAGTTTAAAATTCTACCGTTCAATTAACGCTCAACCCCTCCCTCAGAGCATCCTTAGTTTGGAATTACCCAGCGACTCATCGACGCTGAATGCTGCGGCACGGGAAGAAGTTTTACGAAAAATCGTCAAGTATTCGATAAAAACTGCCCACCCAAACTATCATAACGAAATGTACGCTGGACCGGACTTGCTGGGACTCGCCGCTTCTTGGGTGACCGATGCTCTCAATGCGTGCCAGTTGGTTTATGAAAAAAAAAGATGTTTTCTCTGTTCAACAATAATTACTGGGTTTCCCAATTCTCAGATATACGTACGAAGCTGCTCCGGTGTTTTCTTTGGTGGAATCAATTACTTTGGAATACTTTTTGAAGCGTTGTGGATTTGAAGGTGGGGAAGGTGTTTTCACTCCCGGTGGATCGATAGCCAATATGTAAGCTCATTTTAATGACGGTTAATTATGTGATTTTATGTTCGGTCTATCTATTTAAAGGTATGCTATTGCTATGGCTAGGCATAAGTTGTTGCCGAAAATCAAAAAGCATGGAATGTATGGACAACAGCAGTTGAAAATTTTCACATCTGAGGACGTGAGTATTACATGTATACGCCAAACATATTTCTCTTACAGCCAATGTAAGGTTGGATTTATTGCATCCACTGCATATGTTTTATAAAACAAACATAATGTCAGTTTTTATAAAACAAATGTAATGTCAGTTGCAATTGACTGCAACGTACAAGCAAGTTTTTCCAGAATGCATAGTGTTGTATAAAACCGAAAACATTATATCAAGAAGACAGACAACTTTGTCAGAATCCAAACGACAGATACAGTAGCGCTGCACTTGAGCGAAGGTGGAAGCAACGCATACAAAATTTAGCAAACCTTTCTTCTGAGGATGTAATCTTTACTGACAAAATCAGTCGAAGCATTTACCTTTGAGCGGTAGATGACGTGATTGTACCTATCTCATAGCGTTCGTATGTGGAATTGGAAGAGTTGCCAGTGTTCGATAAAACCTTATTTTTTAAAACTATTTATTTGTTCAAAATTCAAAGCAAATTACATTTCATTTTAACCTAGGTGCCTGAAATTATTAATTATTTTGTTGGACATTTGTTCTAAAGTCTCAACATTCGAAATTCTATGTACTTCGGTAGTACCAGGGAGGCCACTTCAAAATCATCTTCAGAACTTTGTTCTGAATCCTTTGAAGTGCTTTTTTCCTGGTAGTGTAACAACTAGACCGTATTGGCACAGCGTAAAGTATGGTCGATCTAAAAACTTGTTTAAATATTAGAAGTTTATTCGTCTGGCAAAGTTTGGATTTCCTGTTTATAAGAGGAAACAAACATTTTATATATTTGTTACATTTGGCTTGAGTGCCCTCAATGTGATTTTTAAAAGTTAATTTTTGGTCAAGTTCTAATCCAAGATATTTCACTTGACTTGACCAGGAAATTGGAACTCCGTTCATAGAGACTATGTGACTACTACTAGGTTTCAAAAAGGAAGCTCTACTTAGGCTTAGGTATGTGAAAATATTATAAGTTGAGTTTTGGAAGCGTTCCATTTTTGTAAATAAGAAGAGACAATATATAAACTTTTCTATAGTCTGCTGCAAATAACACGAAGACTTATTCCTTTAGTGGAAAAGCCTGTGTCGAACAAAGATTTGTGGCAACCCTGAGGCAAATCAGGGAGGTCCGAAGTGAAAATGTTATACAATATAGGCCCAAGAATGCTACCCTGAGGAACTCCTGCTCTAACAGGTAGTCGATCAGATTTGAAATTTTGATAATTTACCTGCAGAGTTCTGCCAGTTAAATAATTTTGAACTAATTTCGTAAAATATAGAGAAAAATTAAACTTTTTCATTTTAGCAACTCCAGTTGAGCAGCCTTCAGATTTGTTTGAGCGAATTAAATTGGTTACTCTTAAGGGTTGATAAGTAGTTGAATCTGCAAAAATTGAGTTCATATTGATGTAAAGCATCATTCTATTCAAAGTTATCTTTTCAAAAAGTTTACTTAAGGAAGACAGCAAACTTATTGGACTAGACGCTTCAGCTGTTTTTTTAAACGGCTTCAAAATTGGAACAACCTTTGCATCTGTCCATTTATCAGGAAAGTATGCCTAATGGAAGCATCTGTTAAATAGTTTTACTAAGGTTTTCGACAAAGTACTCTCTGGGAGTTTTTTTATGAGAATATAAAAAATCCATCATCACCTGGAGCTTTCATATTTTGAAGCATTTCAGTTATAGATCTTACTTCATCCAAATCAGTCCGCCAGGAATTATCTAACATATTTTCCCGAGAGAAAATATTCGGATAATCCCGAGCAACCTGGTTATCAATAGGACTAGTAAGACCCAAACTGAAATTATGGAAACTCTCAAACTACTTAGAAAGTTTCTAAGCTTTTTCCGAATAAGTGATCAAAATTTTACCACCTTCTTTACGCGCTGGAGCTTTGGAAGTTTTTTTTTCAAAATTTTTGATAGCTTCCAAAAGGGTTTGGATCTCTGGTCTAATTTTGAAACATTATTTTCGATAGTTTTGTTCATCAGGGGAGAGAATTTCTTTTTAGTTTGTTTTTGCAAATCCCGCCAGATAAATTTCATGCCAGGATCGCGTGTTCTTTGATATTGCCTCCTACTGACATTTTTCAAACGGATCAAGAGCTGAAGATCGTCGTCTATTATAATCGCATTTTGGTACTGAGGCAGCTCTTGCCTCAACTATAGAAGTAGTCAGAGATTCAAGAGCGTTCAGAGAGCAAGAACTGAAGCAGACAGAGAGGAGCGCAAGGTAGTGTTCCGAACGGCCAGGGCTGTACTAAAACGTAAGATAAACCTGAGCAAGTCAAACAGTTTCAAGGAGCTGTGCCGAGATGCCGATGCCAACCCTTGGGACAACGCATATCGAGTCGCGATGGCGAAGATCAGACGTCCAACAATGCCAGTTGAAATGTGCCCCAATAAGCTGAAAGTCATCGTGGAGGGACTTTTCCCACAGCATGATCCAACGACCTGGCCACCTACACCATATTGCGAGGAAGATGGAGACAACGTTGAACAAGTCTCCAACCAGGAACTCCTAGCAGCAGCGAAAGGGTTGAAGGCGAAGAAAGCTCCCGGCCCGGATGGAATTCCCAACGTGACGTTGAAGACGGCGATCCAGACGTTCCCGGACATGTTCAGGATGGTGCTGCAGAAATGTCTGGATCAGTTCCCTGATAGATGGAAGGTACAAAAGCTTGTGCTGCTGCCGAAGACCGGAAAACCGCCGGGGGATCCTGAATCGTATAGGCTAATAAGCTTGCTGGATACCGTCGGAAAGCTCTTGGTGAACACGGATTGTCGGAGAGGCAGTTTGGATTCCGGAAAGGGAGATCGACGGTGGATGCAATTTGGACAGTGATTGACAGAGCCGAGAAAGCTTCCAAACAGAAGCGGAGAGCTAGGTGGAGAGGAGATCGATACTGCGCCGTGATTACGATTGATGTGAAGAATGCATTCAATAGCGTCAGCTGGGAGGCCATCGCCAAGGCGCTCCATAAAATGAGGGTTCCAGACTACCGCTGCAGGATTCTAAGTAGTTACTTCCAGAACCGGGTCCTGGTCTACGAGACAGACACTGGGCAGAAATCGCTTAGGATCACGGCGGGAGTTCGACAAGGCTCCATTCTAGGTCTCACGCTGTGGAACGGAATGGCATGCTGACGCTCAAGCTGCCCAAAGGAGTTGAGTTGAGATCGTTGGCTTTGCGGACGATGTCGTCTTGACGGTAACAGGTGAGACTCTGGAAGAAGTGGAAATGCTGGCGGCTGAGGCGATAGATACGATTGGTAACTGGACGCAAGGAGCGATGATGCAGATAGCCCACCACAAAACAGAAGTGATGTTGATCACTAACTGTAAAGAGTTCAGCGGGCAGAAATCTCCGTTGAAGAGCACGCCATTGTTTCGAAGCGCGTGCTGAAGTATCTGGGAGTGATGATCGACGACCGGCTAAACTTTAACAGCCACATCGAATATGCTTGCGAGAAGGCGGTGAAGGTCATCAACGCAATAGCCAGAATCATGCCGAACAATTCTGGTCCAAGCAGCAGCAAGAGGCGTCTTCTGGCTAGTGTGTCCTCATCAATACTAAGGTACGGAGTCCAACCTGGATTGAAGCGCTGAAAACGTAGCAGAACCAAAGGAAATTGAGCAGAACCATTTCGACGGATACAGTATGCGTTATCCCAATCGGCATCACCTTGGCGGAGGACTACGAGTGCTATACGAGGAGAGGAACCAGAGGAGTACGAAAAATGGTGAGAACGGTGTGGACGGCTAAGCAGGAGTGGGATGCAGCGGAAAAAGGTAGATGGACACACAGGCTAATACCGATTCTTTCGACCTGGGTGAACAGGAAGCATGGAGAAGTCAACTTCCAATTGACGCAGTTTCTGTCTGGTCATGGTTGCTTCAGGTTCGGACACACAACGTTCCCCTTCTGTCCGGAGTGTGGGAATGTGGAATCATCACCAGAGCACGTGGTCTTCGGATGTCCTAGATTTGATGCTGTGCGAGAGGAGATGCTCGCTCTTAGAGCGGAGAAATGTGTCGAGAGGAGGGTACCTTTAATCTTTAGTAGTAACATAGAGGTAACTCTAAGACTAGAAGGTCCCGAAGAATCGTGCTCAACTTTTTGGCTCAGCTCTGGTACTCTCTTCGGTCCCAAGTTAATCGATGCACCCATCGAAACATAAGAAAATCCACGAACCCCTCATTTTATCTGTCAAACTTTCATAGCGAATCAAAACAAACATAGTGTAGTACTAGAATTTTGCCTAGATTGGGGTACGTTAATCGATCTTGGGACCAATAGGCTAGTCAAATAGTGAGCCAACTTCGTTTTTATTTTAAGATTACCTCAAGGGGTTGTCACCAAGGGGCAAGACAGCTGTACTCGGAGTAAATATATTTGCTGCGAGTAAATTTGAGTTGCTCATATTTACTCAAAAATTAACAAAGTAGCCTTGTATTTTTCATCATAAGATGTTCTGAAAACAACCACCGTCTGACAGAATGTTTTGTTTAAATATTTTCAATCAAGATAAAATTTAGCATTTGGCGTCAGATTATCAGCTTTAATAAAGCATAATGTCCATGAAATTTCAATATTAACTTTTCGTCTATTAAAAGATCCGAGTTACATTGCTTTTGTCCAGGCCAGGGGCATCTTTTGTTTTCTAGGGATTGATGATCTTCAAAGTTTTTCGTGATGTGGTGGTGTGATTTCAAGACCAAAGAAGTTGGAATTTGTACCAATATTACGAGAAGATTAATACTCAACCTCTCAAAATCGAAGAAAGAGGCTTCTTGTTCTGTTGAATTAGTTTCTGGCTTGAGGAAATTCAACATTACAAATTATTTTTAATTGAGGTGTACAGTGACCAGCAAAATAAAATTTACAAGCTTCCGTAATGGAAGATCGATATACATCTCCGAGAATATTTTGCTAGAAAAAGTCAGAGTAATGGTCAATTGTCACAACAAACTTCCTGCTCTAAGAAAAAGACAGTTGAAATTTGTGATCAGAAACGGGTTAAATTTTCATCGCCTGGTGTTGTTGTGATGATCCACAGTTAGCACAAATGGAACATTGACGAACGGCCTTTATGTAGCTGCTCATCCCGGGTCACAATATTAAGATCAGTTTTGGCCAACTTCATAGTTGATTCTATTCCAACACTTACATGAGCGATCGTCGAAGGGATCTCTTTTTTGTCATGCTACTTAGAATTGTTCAGAACCCTCCCTTCAGAAGCCGTACTGCGAGTGTATGGAATGTTTTCTGAAAACTGTCTTGAATCACCCCTAGGCTAGTTCGGAGTCCCTCCGGAGACTGTCATAAATCCCCTTTTCAATTGACTGGAATCGTTCCAGAGATTGTCCGAAGTCTTCTAGGGATTGTCCAGAATCCCTCTGGGACTGTCCTGAATCCTTCTTGTGATTGTCCATCAGAATCCGTATTATGTAGTTGCTAATGTTTCGCAGCGTGCTATACGAAAGTGCAGTTGCCTTTCCATTGCCTAAATATCTTCTCGGTTAAGTTTTAGTTTGAAAGGGCACCGCTTAAAATGTTGAAATGCGTATTACAAATTTACAAATGCAATAACGCCCCTTTGAAATGTTGCCACTGAATTATCTTTGCTTGACAGCATCGATTTCAACACAACAACCAGGTTGCTATGTGTAAATGTTGTTGAGCAATGCGAGTTACTCAGAGTTACTCAAAATTAACTCTGATTATACCCATGCTCGAAAGCTGTCTTGCCCCAAGGGTTGTCACTCTACACACTTATTTTGCGCCAGAGTGCCTCAAGTGTGCCGCGCTATACCAAGAGTGCCATGTCATCGGACTCATTTTTTGTGTGTGAATAATTTTATGTTTGGCAGCCCGGTATTTTGACAATTCAAATGTTTTGTTTGTATATCAAACCGTACGAGCAGTCGAAGAGAATGGTCACGTCAACGCCAGATCAACAGAATGGGCAGCCCATCAAGAATACTGCTGCTGCGCAGCCCAGTTCCTTCTCCCGTATGTCGAAGTGCGATGAAGATTTGATCCACGGAGAGTACAGCCAACAATCAATACGAAACTAACGATTTTAAATTGGCTCACCACTTTAGTAGCCTATTGGTCCCAAGCAAACGATTAACGTACCCTATTCTAGTTGAAATTCTATTACTACACTATGTTTGTTTTGATTCGCTATGAAAGTTTGACAGATAACATCAGGGGTGTGTGGATTCATGCAGAACATGCAGGGGTGAGTGAAATAGCTTGGGACTGCTTGGGACCGTTGTTCTGGTACTGAGTGAGCCAAAAATAATAATGATTTTCTTCGGGACCCAGTGGTCTTAGAGTTACCTCTATAGTACAGCAAACATTACACGCTGGTGAGGAACATTGGGAATGCACTCATTGAAAATTCTGCACCGGAACATCATCGATCATTATTTCCATATCAAGCTGATTGACTTCGGATCGGCGACGTTCGTACAGGAAGGGAAATTTTTTTTTCTACCTTCTACGGCACGACCGAGTACTGCAGTCTGAAAGTGTTGCTAGGCAACCGCTACTCCTGCCCTGAACTGGAAATGTGGGCTCTCTGTGTGACACTTTTCGTGTTGTTGTTCTTCGAGAACCCATTCGTGGACGTTGAGGAAATCCGCTGACAAGATTTCCAAAAATCGGATCACCACCCAGGAGCTACTGGAGGGCGAAATGGATGACACAAGAAATCAATTCGTCACATTAAAATTTTCCCAAAATCGTCCCCTGCTGACCGTACGAAATCAATCCGTAGAAGTGCTACACGCAGAAAAAAGTTTTTTAATTTCAATGATATTATGTATTAAAAACAACAACAAAAATTATCATTCCCCGGCTAATAACTTTTTTTATTGAATTCAACAATAAATCTTTATTGTTCGGACATAAAATATTGTTGTTTTCAAAATCTGTCAAAAACGCAATTAAAAATATATTTTGTTGAATTTACAATATTTATTTTCAAACAGACAAAATCTTTTTTTGATAAAAAAAAAAAAGTTGCTACCAACAATAACTTTTTTTTATTCAAAAAAAAATTGCTGCAAATAACAAATTGTTTTTAATAATTTAAAAATAAAATTGGTTTGGCATAAATATTTTAATTTTTAATTTTAGCAGTTTTTCTATTCGAGAAATAATTTTCAATAAATTTAAAAATTGTTTTTGGTTTCATTTTCTATTTATTAACAAACGGTACAAATAGTGATTAAATAAGTTTATCAATTATACATAAAATACCGAAATTATGACCTCTCATTAACGGTATGTAAATTAATAGTTTGCGTTTCGAAACGGGCAACGTTTCCACGGTGTATTGATTTGCTGGAATTGGGGAAAAAAATCGTTAAAACACGTATTAAAATGCAAATACTGAATTCCTTACAAAGAAAGCAACTTGTTCAAAAAGAACTTCTTCCGACGAGACTGGGAAGCCGAGCATGCACAGGCATTGAAAACACACACATACATTGACAAAATGAGCCTGTGTATGTTTTGGAAAAGTGTTGCTTTTAAATTTACAATATATTTTTAAAAAGTAGTTAAAATAATATTTGAAGACAAAAATATATTTTATTGAATCTATAATATATTTGTTTTCAGAATTTGCAATGAAAACAACAAAAAACATTTTTGAAGCTACAAAATATAAATATTGAATTCAAAAAAAGTTATATTTGACATTGCAAAATATTTCAATAATATTTTTTTTGGTTCAATAAGGTCAATTTTCTCTGCGTGTAGTAAATGCAAATATCTGCTCCAGCTAGACTGGACTGCCTACGTCGCCGCACAACCTTTCGATATTGGATGATGTCGATGGTGAAGATGAGGATGAGCATGTCCAATGTCGAATAAAACAGAAAATGTAAGCTCTTCAACAGGCAATGTTTTGCTTCAAAATCCTTGAAACATCTGGAAGTCAATACAGAAGTGCATAAACATCCCAATTCCGTGGCAGTTTCTGTACTCCTGCGTTGGTTTTCAAAGATTCATATTAAATCCACCCGGTCGTCGTCGTGTTGTCTGTATCTTCCGTTGCTCCGGTTGCGGATCATAGCAGTATGGGCATAGAGGTAACTCTAAGACCAGAAGGTCCCGAAGAAACGAGCTCAACTTTTTGGCTCAGCTCTGGTACTATCTTCGGTCCCAAGCTAATCGATTCACCCCTCGAAACTTAGGAAAATCCACTAACCCCTCATTTTATCTGTCAAACTTTCATAGCGAATCAAAACAAACATAGTGTAGTACTGGAATTTATACTAAAATGGGTCGATTTGCTTGGGACCAATAGGCAGTCAAGTAGTGAACCAATTTAAAATCGTAAGTTTCGTATCGATTGTTGGTATTACCAGGATTCCATCCATTTGTGAGTTGTTGCCGCCATATCGCCAAACCAAGTTTCATCAACTGATCATTTTCTTTAACTACCGAAATGTTATGTGTAAAACTGCGCATACCAAGCATGCTTGTAAGTACTGAACAATGGTTATTAAAGGTTTCGTATTAACATGATTGCAAATATACTATATTAACAATATAGTTCACTCTAAGATTTTCCATACATCACGCAGGGGACAGAAGCTTCCTGTTTGACACACCATCTATTGTCAGTAAAAGCAATCAACATGCATTTGATTAGAGTCGAAGGATGAGTGAGTTACAATTATTACGCATGAAAAATATACATAATTTAATTACATTAATTAGAATCAGGAAAAAAAAAGCTGTGCACATTGACCCTTATTACCGATGTCACTTCACGGTGAAAAGGCAACTTCAAGACCAACGATTAAAAAGGCCTCAACTCCATTTTGTAAACAAACAAATGGCCTTACAACATTTACTCGCGAACCGAAGTCCGCCAAGGCAACCAACAGAATGAACAGGTAGGGGAAATTTTCCTCTACCCGATTGGCGAGAAAATGGCCTTACAAGGTTTGTTTACAAAATCGAGTTGATGCCATTTCAATTGTTGGTCTTGACTTATCACTCACGATCAAGTGATTCTCATTTGATTTATACGGCAATAACTTCACCGTGAGTGACAACTGGTCACTTCACTTCGTTTTCACCGTGAAGTAACACTCGTAATAAGGGCCATTGATAAGGCTTGTAGATACCTATTGTAATGCGAGAATAATTGTTTAAACAAGTTATGATTAAAATCTCTGTTGTAGATTTGAAGCATCCCTATAATACACTGACTCAAAGGCGCGCTTGCCAAAAATCGTGTCTCTTGAAAAACAAAAGAGTGAACTATATTGTTAATACAGTATATTTGATGATTGACTTATGACTTGTTAGCCCTAGCAGAGCTGCATTGAAGCTTATTTAATGCTTTTTACTAATGCTCATGGTTGGGTGGGAATAATTCACTCAGCACTCCAACTTTGCACTGAGCAGTTTCTTAGCACTCATTTTATATAGTTTGTACAAATATATCTACTTTGAAAATATCGAACCTTTGCCATTTTTGTAACTTCAATCAGGATTTATTGCGAGTGTTGGTTAAATATAGCCACATCAGTATTTCAGTTGAATGTTATGCTAGCAGAGACTTCCGAATAAATCAAGCGTCCAATGAACAAACGCCCTGCTGAAAATGCGATCCAATCAGACCCAAGACACGAATAACCCCTTTCCCATCAAGTCTCACTACAGTGTCACAAAGAGCGCCAACTGGCTGGGTCTGGGCGAGGAAAACGTGCTGAAAGTCAAGACGGATGACACGTCCCGAATTGAGCCCGCCCAGCTAGAAGCGGCCATCGTGGATGCCATTGCCGGGGGATCGAAGCCACTAGTCGTATCGGTGACGGCCGGGACGACGGTGTTCGGTGCGTTCGATGATTTGAACCGGATCGCTGATATTTGTCAGCGGTACCGAATCTGGCTGCACGTTGATGTAGGTTTACGCGTGACATCACGAACGGGCCATTAGTTTATTAGCTAATACTTTTGCTTTGGATAATTCATCCAAAATCCGAAAACAGGCAGCATGGGGTGGAGCAGCTATCTTCTCCGAGCTTCATAAACCGTTACTGGCCGGGCTGGAGCGTGCGGATTCACTGTCGATGTGTCCCCAGAAGATGCTAGGAACTCCGTTACAGTGTGCATTATTTCTGGTCAAACATGCAGGTCTGCTCACGGGTTGCAACGCGGCTTGTGCGGAATATTTGTTCTCAATCGATAAGTACTACGACGTCTCGTATGACACTGGCGACATGAGTGTTCAATGTGGCAGAAAGGTGATAATGCTTGTTTTTGGTAACTTAATAAGGGGAAACATTATGCGCTTACTATCGGTGTTGTGTTTTCAGATTGACTCATTCAAGCTGTGGTTCATGCTACGGGCACGTGGCTCGGCCTGGTTCGAATCCTCCGTGAATAACGCAATGAGTTGTGCAGCATATTTCCACGCTACAATTGCTGGGAATGTTTATTTCAAACCAGTTCGGTCATCGTATCAATTTACGAACGTTTGTTTTTGGTTCATTCCGAAGCGACTTCAGCTGAACTCCCCGGAAGGCGAAACCGACGAATGGTGGGCTGAGGTGTACAAGGTAAATTGATCAATAAACCCGCCGCCAGGTTGATAGCTGAATGGTTGCTTTGTTTTAGGTTACACTTACACTGAAGGAGAGGATGGTCAAGAAGGGCAGCTTGATGGTTAGCTATTCGTCATACCCCCAAAAAAAGATGGGCTACTTCTTCCGGTTAGTAGTGAAATGCGTGCCGGAGCCAACGGTTGCGCGGATGGACTTCATTGTAGCGGAAATGATCGCCCTAGGTGGAACTCTGTGAACATCAATGATTTCAAGAGTCACATGTGAAAATGGCGTACGAGCTTTTTTTTTAAAAACAGCAATCGTGGAATAAAAAGGACATAGGATCACATCAATCTGACTTAATATGGACCAACAGGTCTGTGCCATAAAAAAGGGTGGAATCAATCTGACTGGTAGTGATTCCGGAATCAATGTTGACATCAATGGCGTTGTTAATTGTTTATATTTGTGAAAGTAGGAAAATAGGGTCCACGGCGTGCTTTAAGCGATGGATATTCTTGTTTGTTTATGGTTGTACAAGGTGCTGAATGGCGGTAGAAACTTTGAATCGAATTCAAATTCAAATAGAAAAATCATTCTGCAATCCTGGCATATTTAGTCAACTCCGTCAAACACCATCCACTAATTTTTGACGGGCATTCATCAAAAACATTAAGAAGAGTGAGAAGCTGGATTGTCAAGTCCCGGAATTTGGTGTGTGTATCTTGGAAGGATTTTTCAAGTAGTTATAGTTGCTTTCTTCTGAGTGAAATCTCAACGCATCTCTAAGTGCACAGTAAAAAATTAATATTGATATCACATCAAAGTGGATGCTGAAATATGGTGTAATATTACTTGCCAAAAAGGACAAAATTATCAATACAATGCAAGAACTGACATCAAACTGCTTTTACTGCATTTGTTTATTTTTGTGGCCATAAAAATAACATGAGATTTTCGGCATGATTGAAGCATAGAGGTAACTCTAAGACCACTGGGTCCCGAAGAAAATCATTATTATTTTTGGCTCACTCAGTACCAGAACAACGGTCCCAAGCAGTCCCAAGCTATTTCACTCACCCCTGCATGTTCTGCATGAATCCACACACCCCTGATGTTATCTGTCAAACTTTCATAGCGAATCAAAACAAACATAGTGTAGTAATAGAATTTCAACTAGGATAGGGTACGTTAATCGTTTGCTTGGGACCAATAGGCTACTAAAGTGGTGAGCCAATTTAAAATCGTTAGTTTCGTTTTGTTTCTGATTGAAGTGCATCATCTTGGATGTAATATTAATTTTTTTTTTGCTGTGTGTACGAGGCCAAGTGGGTCTCGCAGGCCTGCTACAAAAACTTTAAGCCAAGGATCCTGGTAATATTTCTGTTTAGCTGTTTTTACATTAGGATCTTTTTCATTAAGATTGAGTTGATGCATTGGTAAACTGATTATGTAAAGGGTGATACGGTAAAAATTTGGTCAATATCAACTTGACGTATTTCTTTCAATTTTGCATTTAAAAAACCTGAACACCCCTCATTTTGAAGGTGTGTGTGTGTAGAATGTTGCTCCTATTTTGATTTTGGAATTCACTCTTCAGTTGTCAAAATGCCGTCCAAGCAAGAAGAGCAGCGTATCAAAATTTTGCTCGCGCATCGCGAAAATCCGAGCTACTCGCACGCAAAGTTGGCAAAATCGCTAAAAGTTGCCAAATCAACCGTTACAAATGTAATTAAAGTGTTTGGGGAACGTTTGTCGACAGCCAGGAAGTCTGGATCGGGGGGAAATCGAAAACCGGAAGCCGCTGAGACGACAAAGAGAGTTGCCGGTAGTTTCAAGCGAAACCCTAACCTCTCTCTCCGAGATGCCGCAAATAAGCTGGGTGTATCGTCTACAACCGTGCATCGAGCCAAAAAACGAGCCGGACTATCGACTTACAAGAAGGTAGTGACTCCAAATCGCGATGATAAACAAAATACGACGGCCAAAGCGCGATCCCGGAGGCTGTACACGACGATGCTGACGAAGTTTGACTGCGTGGTAATGGACGACGAAACCTACGTCAAAGCCGACTACAAGCAGCTTCCGGGACAGGAGTTTTATACGGCAAAAGGAAGGGGAAAGGTAGCAGATGTTTTCAAGCACATGAAACTGTCAAAGTTCGCAAAGAAATATCTGGTTTGGCAAGCCATCTGTACCTGTGGCTTGAAAAGCAGCATTTTCATAGCACAGTCCCTGTCAACCAAGAAATTTACGTGAAAGAGTGTTTGAATAAACGTCTGCTGCCTTTCCTGAAGAAACACGGTTGTTCCGTACTGTTTTGGCCGGATTTGGCATCTTGCCATTACGGTAAAAAGGCCATGGAGTGGTACGCCGCCAACAACGTGCAGGTGGTTCCCAAGGACAAGAACCCTCCCAACAACCAGAGCTCCGCCCAATTGAGAAATACTGAGCTATTGTCAAGCGGAACCTAAAGAAGACCAAAAAAACTGCTAAGGGCGAGCAGCAGTTCAAGGTAAACTGGCTTTCTGCGGCGAAGAAGGTGGACAAGGTGGCTGTACAAAATCTGATGGCAGGGGTCAAGCGTAAGGCCCGGCAATTCGGATTTGGAAAAGCGGAAGGCTAACTGAATATTTTTCCTGAATTTTATACTTATTGAACTTGAAAAAGAAATTTAATTTGATTTTTTAAATAAACGATTTCACAGATTTACACGTGTTTTCCCTTGACCAAATTTTGACCGTATCACCCTTTAGAAGATGTTTTCATAAAACTCTTCAACTGAACCCTTGTGTTAGCTGGAAAAGGTCTCTAGTGAGAGATACCTCATCTCACCTATCACTGTAATGGGTGATCAAGTTGTTTTTAATCTCGTCCCAGCTCAAGAACTCACGTCTCCAACAATTTTTGATCGGATGGTTTACATCTACACGTCAAACATTGCTATTTTTTGCCTTTAGCAGGATAGACATTAAAGGGTGCTACGATCAAAATTTCGTCAAATATTAGTTTTCGCGTGTGGATAAGTGTAAATTAAGATCTATCACGTTTTAAGAAGTTTTTTTTAGTGATATTGTAATTAACGTGAAAAATCTGGGACAAGAATTTGTTTCGAGTAGCTGTGTGGCTGTGGTGTCGCGTCGGTTGGTTTTTCATTTCGTTTGTTTTTGGTGCTTTGCCTCCCTCCCAAGAAGAGTTTTACCGGGTATTTTTTTTCTTGGTGCTGGCGTTCTGCCCTCCGGAGGATGCACGCGAATGAGATGTCAAGCAAAAATTCGGTGCAAATGAAAAATTTCGAATGTGATTCAAAATGTCGTGTTGGGTTGTAAAAACAACGCGGAAGATTTTTTAGATTACCGCGAGTAAACAAACCGGTCCTTTTTTGGAGGCAGAATTTGGTGAGATCCATCTGATTTATAATCAATCATAAATGCAGGTTTCCATATATTACTAAATACGCGCCAGATTTCGAAACATCACATTTTGAAATCTGGAAGTGTGTTTACAGTACCATTATTCATATGATAACGGTAGTGTTTACATGCGAGGCTTATTGTATGTGAAAGTAACCTCGGAATGGACGTGAATTACCAGGCATTCTGAAATGGGTTGCTGAATCTGCAGTAGAGCTATCGCTTTCTAACTCCCGGATTAAACTTGCTTCAAATTATAACATCAAGGATTGTTGTAAGCAAATTTCTTCCATAATACCACTGCCGGCCAGTGGGGGTTAGATTGAATACACACACACACACACACACGATCAAAATTTCGTCATAAAAGAATGCGTGTGAATTGATTACATTTTTTGTACTATAAAAAATCAAATTACTTTTCTAAAGTTTAATTAGTATAAAGTACAGAAAAAATATTCAGCTAAGCTTCCAGTTGATCGAATCCAAATTTCCGGCCTTTTCGTCGTAGAACGCCAGTGTGCATTAAACTGCTTCTCGCTTCGAACAGTTTTTCGAGTCTTCTTCAGGTTCCGCTTGACAATGGTATTTTTCGATTGGGTGGAGCTCTGGTGTGTTGGGAGGGATCTTGTCCTTGTGCACCACGTGTACGTTGTTGGCGGCATGCAAAATCCGGTCAAAACAGCACGGAACAATCGTGTTGCTTCAGGAAAGGCAGCCACAGGTACAGATAGCCTGTCAAACCAGATATTTGGTAGCGAACTTCGACAGTTTCATATGCTTGAAAATGTCTGCCAGCTTTCCCCTTCCGGTTGCCGTATAAAACTGCTGCCCAGGAAGCTGTTTGAAGTCGATCATCATTCTCTGCTTGACCGTCAAGCAGTTTAGTTCGGTTTTTGCTCGCTCTGTCGAGTTGTTCGATTAGTTTCTAGTTTGTTCCAAACGTTCGCAGATTTACTGCGCGTTGTCAGTAGTGCTGAAGTCGGTGTCAACGTGGCTTCTGCTCCAAGCCTGCGCAAAGGCTACCACCACGGCAACTGAGCGCAGTTTGGACGTGTGGTTGACAGAGCCATTGACGAAGATCCACCGCTTGACACCGTAGATGACATCGTTGGAAGGGCTCTAACAGGCCATATCCGTGGCTGACGAGGAATGTGTTCGACAAGTTCCTTTGAGGGGTTGGTTTGTTGCTATTGGATTCTCACACCAAATTACTGATTCGCTTGAGAAATTTTCGTAGCGCCAGTTTCAAAGGACTGGAGATCTGGACAAAAACATGTAATGGCCGATCTGAACAGGCAGATTGCTTCCAAGATGGACTCACTCCGAAATGAAAGTTCCGGGCGTGTTGTCCAGAATGTGGATGTCCGCTCCAGACAATTCTGGAATGTAGCCAAGGTCCTGAAAACTCATCCCAAACTCGTTCCACCTTCAGAGACGAAAATGATGACGATCAGCTCTTAATCACCCCACAGGAGAAGCCAAGCATGTCGCTTCATCGCATTTACTTGGCTAGATTATCCAAAGTCCGCTCGAAGATTAGGTCGCGCAATGCGTTCAACACCTAGATGTCTCCCCTTGTGTCGTGCTTCCGGAGGATTAGATTTTCTTTTCTTTTATTTAACGTTGGTCTCTGTTCCGCAATCTAGTGCCAATCACCGACGGACATCGATTGCCATCCATTGATGGCAATCGAATGTGCAGGAGGCAGCTTCCACACCTGCGTAGGATATCGCATCCATTCAAATACCCATAGGCCTGGACAAACGGCTTCACTTCCCTTCCGAATGAAGACGTTACCAGAGATGTTTATGCCTCAGAAAAATCCCACCGACCTCGACTGGGATTGA